AGAACAAAAAGTCACATTGATTAATGATAGATGATTTGATTAACAAACTTGTTTATCTTTCAAACTCATTTGCGTAGTACTAAGTAGGTAGGTATACCAAAACACACTCAAATATAATGAAAACTTACAACTTCATACCTAGTATAGATTTTATTGAATATCATGATTCTTACCACCGATGTGCACCATGATCTCAATGTATTTTTACTAAACTTACTTTACTAGTTTATACTAAAAACGGATTAGTCGACATAGGACCTATTCGCCAAACAACTTCCACCTAAAAAATGTCCTGTTCACTAAGGATCGTATTCTAGAACTCTACTCAATGCTCAAGTCAGGATTTGAGTATGGTTTAAAGCACTCGAAATCATACTCAAGTCCCTGCCATTAGGGTCGTATTTCCAATGCATGAGTTTCCAGTGCAATCCTGACTTGAGCATTCTAGAATACGACCCTTAATGACCTATTCTTAAAACGGCCTCGCAGTGCGGTATAGCGGTGGCTTTGGTTTGACATATACACAGGTTCAAGTAGGTACTGTTAGATCGAATGAATTTTAGTTTGTGTTCGATCTTTGTATTAATAATACATTTCATACCTAATAGTCACCTGGACCTAGTCTTTTGCCTAATAATACCAAGAAGTAGGTTTGTTAGTGCTTTTACAAAAAAACGCTATTTTTTTCAGGAAACAATTACTTTTTTTTTGAGTCATCGTCATTTTAATGATTACACATCACGCTAGTTCAATGTCATGGTGTTTTATAAATCACGGTATCACATGTAACTACGTCTATTAGTGGGAATATTGTCACAAAATGTGAAATAATGGATTTTGTTTCTATTTTAAACTTATTGTCGATTTAAAATGGATACGTAATGAATTATGTAATAAGTGTGTTGAATAATTATTATTATAAACATTTGTGGAATGCACTTTTTCTACGGCCCCTGACTGAATTGTACTTCAGTAGGTAATTATTTACTTTGAGAATACGTCCGTCAAATATAATAATAATAACGCACAATATAATAATAATAATAATAACGCACACACTCAACATAGTTGCAACAACAACACAACACAACACAACAAAAACAACATTGAGACTCACTGTCGCGGATGCCATGGACACACATAGACAACCACAAATTACACCCAAACTTACGAGAGAAATAAATGTAAGCCATACAAATATTTCTCCCGGCCCGGGAATCGCACCTGGGACCTCTGCGTGGCAGTCTATAACCGTTCGGCCACGGAAGCAGTAAATTTATTATTATAGCGTCAGCATCGTCATCTCAACTTGATTTAACAAATGCAATTACACTTAATTTTACTTTACGGTCAACCACAAACAGTTCATTTTTCATCCGTTCAGTAAATGGGAAACAAAACAATCGAGTGTATCGAGATAAAAATCCTATAAAATCACATTCGTCGGTCGAATAGCTCTGAGGATTTTTTTATCGTAGCCATGCATGCTTCTTGCGTTCCTTTGTGATCGTGAGCCTTAAATTCAATCAACATTGGCCATTATTTGATAACACTCGCAAAGTGTCGATCGACAAATTCAACAGTTGACATTACTTATGTCCGCATGTGAGTGAAACGATCAAGTTACTTTAAACACGATTCAACCAACAATTTCTATAAAAACAGACAATAGCAGAGTACAACATTTTTACGTTTAACTGGTTACCATGCTGGACTGCCACGCAGAGGTCTCGGGTTCAATTCGAAATATTTATATGGCCTACATTCATTTTTCTCGTGAATTTGGCTGTAAGTTGTGATTGTCTGTGTATGACCATGGCACCCGCGATACAGGGTTTCTCTAATGCGGGGCTTATAAAAAATATAAAAAAACATTTAACGGATTAGTACTAGAACTTTATAACAGAATTCTCATCTGCACGATGATAACAGTTTTATCAACATTAATGTTATCAAGTATTAAGTATATTTTATTTAAGTTTTATAATAATAAAATCGATCGTGTGTATTTTCGATTTCACTTAAGGTTTAAATCCAATTCTATGCCGTTTAAGATAAAAACGGTCCAAAGTACAAAGTGTCAAGCTTGATGTGCTCTTGACTGTACAATACCCAGTTTTAATCGGTCTGGCGGTATAATAAACAATTTGGACTGGCTGTACGGCGTTTTAAACTAAAATTTACGTAACTAGCAAGCTGAGCTTGAACTTGCATCTGGAAAATTCTGCGTAAATAAACTCGCAACACAAAGTGAAAGTCGACCATTTCCAGAATAATTCTACGGTATACTTTATATGTATTGCGGGTATGCCTTAAGTACTTAATGTTCTAGCTGCAATTTTTAATATCATATCATTTAGAGTAACGTTAACATGAATGCGTACATTTATTTTAAAATCGATGTTTGTTAATTCCATTTAATACATATGAGTATAGTAAGCCATAATTTTCTGGAAAGCGATAATTATTATCCACCTTATATGAATTTTAAAGATGAACGGGTACAATGTGTTTTTTTTACTGTGACAGTATATAAAAGATCAATGGTAGCAGTCGAATTAGACAATTTTGTTATGGATAATTCTAGTAACGGCATTTTCAAAACGACAACCAACTAGTACACTTTAAAATTAATGTGTTCTCTTTTTATTTCGACTGGAATTTACATAATCATATCGGCTCATCCGTAGAACAAAGATCTATATGCAAGACTACTTATTCTCAGGACATAGTACGTTTCGCTTGATTTTCTTAGCGAATAGTTGTCATATCGACCGTCGTTCTATTTTATATGTCCGAAACGAAATGAGATATATAAATTCTCAAAACACCTTTATATAGGCCTTGGTTTGAATAACTAAATTAATCTCATAACGGACTTATTATCTTTTCTCTATATAATCACATCCGACTCTGTTCTTCGGTTGAGTCGATATACTAAAAAGAAATAATGGTACCTAACCTTAATTAAATTAAGTTATCATGCTTCAGAAATGTTTTCAAACGAAGGAATCATATTATGAAATGTTAAATGTTGTTTTCAGGATCGTATGTAGCGGCTTTTTTACGATAAATTAATAGGTACGTAAATACACTTCATTATGTTAAATGTTTAATTCCACTATTTAGGTACTTTAAATACATATATTTCAATGAACATTAATTTCAATGAATACGTTACTCATGGTGCCAGGTATTTTTAACTCAATTAGTTCCACGATGCCGAGATAAGTAGTTGGTAAGCAGGCATTAAGTACAAAAATCTTAAGTGTGAGCAAAAAATTCATTTGAAAATGTTATATTATAGGAAAGTAAACTTTTTGTGTACGAAATAGGGTATATCATTTAAAAAGTAATTGAAATGGTGAAACTGGTGGACTCCACCAAATGCTGCTTCCTAAAGCTTCGTCACAGGATGCTGATATTGCGATCTTTGGATATTTTATGGATGGATATTTTATCTTTTTCTTATGTATTTATTTACTACACTATTTCTTTTGTTCTATGCTGTGTAAATGTGTGATATTAATATAAAATCGTATTGGTATAACATTATCATTGGTACTCACCCAAAAACTTTAAAACTATGACAGCCATTTTAATTCAGTTTACTTTAAAACCAGTTTTTTTATATATCACAAGAGTTTGTTACGATTTCAAATGTGTCACTATACAGTCAGTTCATTTTGTGTTCTTCCCGCGGTCGTTTGAACTGTGTGATACGCGGTGCGCCGTTCGCAGCGGAGTGCGAAGTTGCGAGGTTTTGCGAATTGTATTGCGCCTGCGATTGTGCAGCCACCGCACCAGCGGACGTCAAATCGTCAACAACGCGGTGGAAAGGAGAGGGTCTCATTATCGGCTCACTTCCGCTTAGGAAAATTTAAAAACAACCCAACATCATGCGCTCTACAGTTTGTAATAAGAACGCTCGTTTGCAATTTTTTTTTCTCGAATATGATAACATAGGCTATTCTAATTTTTATTTTTAACAAATGTGATTCACTTTATCACGATTTAACTTTAATAGAACTGACCTGTGTGATTGTTGCGATTCTTATTAGATAAGCAGATGAGTAGGTAGCTTATTTATCATGGGTGTTGTACAGTAGGTTCATGTACGAATTGTTATATAAATACTACTTAGGTTACCTAACTGGCCTTTGAGTTTCTTCGTGGGTTGATAAGCATTTAGCTATATTTCAACGTAGTGCGTATTGGGTTGTCGGGTTTAACTAATCATACTGAGAGGAATTAGTTTTCCACTGCGTGAGATGGTAGACGATAAGGAAAAATTTGCACTTAAGTAATCTACTTCATACGATTGTTTCAAGAGTGTAACTTTTCTACTTCCTTCGAGAATACATGAGAATGTCCTTTTAAACTGTGTTGTCTACCTCAAATATACTCAAATATATATTATAATATATACTTCATATATTGTGCTATTTGTTATTATATCTGTGGAAGGTTTTGATTATGACGCTAATACCCACAGTATACTTATAGAACTGTGAAAGAGTTCGTCCAGAGAATTACTGCCATCTTACCTATTTACGCCGCCTAGCAGTAATTTGAGCATTACTGCCTTTCGACTTTGAAGGGTACCTAAGGGTGGTGGTGAAATTACAGGCACATGGGGCAAGTCAATTTATGTCCAGGTTGACAAGTGCGATGGCAGTGCCCCTCAAATCTTTGCAATTTAAAACTCTAAGTGGTACTGCAACTGCTATGCAAGCAAGCGTACCGCGGCAGCGGCCGGGGCGAGTGCCAGAAGTCATAGTAGTGCTCTTCGGTGGCACTATGGGTGCTTGATGAGGAGTTTCCGGGTTCGATTCTCGATTTGGGCCAATTATTTGGGAACGAACATTTATAAGTTGGTTGGTCTGGTCTGGGTATTCTATGTATTGCTTAGAGTTATAGTTATTATGATTATCATAGTACTTATAGGAAATTCCCTAATTTGAGACCAAAAATTTGGTGTGATTGTCTGGCATTTTTTTTCCCTAAATACTTCTCTTTGAGATAGCATCCAAGAGAAAAGAGAGACGGTCAAGATACAACACCGCTATAAGTATCTCATTTTCACTACGTCAGGAAGTGCCTAAGAGCTTACATTCTTGTACCTACCCACCTACCTACATACGGTGGCGTGCGGATGCTGCGGACTTCGCCCTAGGCTGTACCTCGGCCTACGGCCTCGGCGCTTACTATTTTGTTTAAAAAATTAACATAGCTCTTTAATGGCGGCCATTTTCAAATATGACAAAAAATAAATTATGAACGCAAATTATTGTTAAACACCCATACAGAACTCCACATGTCGATTTTCAGTCGAATTAGAGACAATTTTTATCAGCCGTCAAAAACGTGTGTATGGTAGCCATATTGGAAAATGACGAAAAATAAGTTTGGATCACATTGACTTACAAATAAATGGACGACGGGTCTAATACAAAAACCACGAAAAAAATGTCCCAAGTCAACGTATTCGAAATTTAAATTGTAATGTCATCGCAGTATCGCGCTGTCAGTCGAACAAATGAAGACTAAAGCGGAGTTTGGCGCTCTGTATACGATTTTAGCGCCTTACAAGTGCGGACACTTTTTAGCGCGGACCCGACGTCCATATAATTGTAAGTCAATGTTGGATCATAAATTATTATCAAACACCCATAGAGATCCCCACATGCCGATTCAGTCGAATTAGAGCAAATTTTTATCTGCCGTCAAAAAACCTTTGTATGGCGGGCGTACTGAAAAATGGTGAAAAACTAATGTTGATTACAAATTATTATCAAGCACTCTTAGAGACCCCCACATGCCAATTTTAAAAGAGATCAGAGCAATTTTTTTTTCTACCGCTTATATTTCGCCCATATTTGAAAATGACTAAAAACCGATTTCGACCACAAACTTTCACACGGCACTCTTAGAGGGAGACCTCTATGGCATGCGAATTTTCAGCCGTATCAGAGCAAGTCTGTTTCGGCAGCCACTTTTGTCCAAAAATCGCTTATACGACAGTCATATTAAAAAATGGCGAAAGGAAACGTTTGATCCCAATTATGCTTAAGGACTCCTAAAGACCCCCGCATGCCAATTTTCAGCCGGATCGAAGCAAGTTTTGCTTCGGCCGCCATTTTGAATTCGCCATCTTGAATTTTTTTAACCCAGGCAGTTGACCATTGTTACTCTCTATGACATTCCTTCGAGCACCTCTAACCTATCTCTAATAGTTTCCGTGATAGGAGACTTTGAAATTTGTATGGTGGCCATCTTGTTCATTTGAATTTCGAACATTTCTTACTTCCGGCTGAAATTAACCAAGGCGTACCTCATAAAAGTGCACAAACATTCCCTCCATGTATTATAGTTTTTGCAGGCCGTCGATCACTGTTTCATATTTACCACATTCAGGTCTTCTCATATTTGATGCTTAGCTTTGGAATCTTTCCGCGTACAACGGTATAAATATCTTTTTTCCACTATATCGGGAAGTATGCCTTCTATTTCTATCAGTGAGTAAGAACTTGCAGCTTTTTACATATAATAATAGATATCAGTAGCCTTAACACAAGGAAGAGCGAAGAGAACCCACGGTGAAGAACGAAGTTAATGACCGGCTGCGCTAGCGGAATTGTTAGTTAAATAGTATCGAGGAAGTGATAGACGCATTGCATCGTACGTGCCTAGTCCTATATTCTAAACATTATACATCACCCATCACCCACCCATGTATCCAGTTACCTACATTTAATATAAGACGCAGTATACACCACGGGTGTACACAATATGTATGGTGTTATATGTTTAATCAACACCTTAACCAGATAAAATTCAATCAATGGGAAAATGTTTCTTCGAAATAAACATTGCGGAATTCCCATAACGGTAAACGTACGGCGACGACACTAACGTATTTTTTAAAATTATGTAATGGTGCCAAAACATTATCCTTCTTTCACCATGAATGATGTTGCAGACAGGATAGACTTGACTAGACCCTGTATGTTATATGTTATTTGTAATGTATTAAGTTGATATTTGTGATTTCTTTGTTTTAGTATATGTTTAGTGTAATGTAGTTATTATATAAGTATATACGTTTGAATATGTACACTGCCGCATTGGTGTTTATTACTGTAATGGTAGGTGTAAAGTTGTAAGTAAATAAATAAATAAATAAATAAATAAATAAATAAATAAACCAATTATATGTTTTCACAAATACATACTTGTTCCTGTTTTATGCTTGCCAAAACATACTCCATCTACTATTTCGTGCCTAACTACCTATTTAAGTATGTTTAAACCCGTAATCGACCCTAAAAATCTTAATATGAATGAAAAATATGCTAAATATATTATTTGTGTGTAGCTCAATATTCACTTGACTAGTACACGGTTATACATTAGATAAAAGTTATGAGGTTTTAAAAATTGTGATTGTACACGTATAATAGAAATCTGACTAGAGAGTCAGGGTCTACTCTCGTTTTCTGTCCGACATCTTACAGAGCCACAAAATTTTAATTTTCCCGCTTCTTATATTAGCTCAGCATTTACGAAGCATGATAAAAAAATCTGACTTCACTGGCTACAAAACTATGAAAAAAAGAAGTCTTTTAAAAAAAACTACGAAATTGAATATTATTAAACTGTAAAAATACACTGTTTTTTGAAACTAAAAATTAGAACGTACCTTGTAGAGAAAGTAAAGTAAAGTGGATTATTTATTAATTATTGTATTATAATAATAATAACAAATTTATGAAAAAAAAAATATGAGAAAAAGGCACTGTTTACCTAAATGACAAATTGGTTTATCTTACTTTTTTATACTCAAGTGAACATAAATCTACATTACACTAAAAGTGATGCGAATACATATTATGATTTATTTTTTATCTAATATAATATTTTTATAATTTGATTTCATCATAACATTATTATCTTAATATTCTCAGTGAAAAAAAAATGTAGAAAAATTTTGCATCAGACTATGAATGAAAATGCACAACAGACTTGTCTCCATGGACACAGTTTTTTCTGCCTTCTGATAATTATTAAAAAAAAGAAATGAACTTGACGTTGACAGACTATCGGTTGGACTTTGACGTACGTACAATAATACAGATAATGTATTTGCACTCGAGTTTTCCACTCATCCCGCTAAATACAAAGTTCAGACGGTTGTTCAGAGATAAAAAGCAAACGATAAGTAGTCGTTTTTATCAGAAACCTTGCAGACTGTCCCCTGTACGCATACGTAATACGATTCAATTTAATATAACAAGTAACATCATATCTCTGAGTGAGTATCCCATATTGTAAACATTTATGATTACAGCTTTCAAAGTTTATGACGATAGAGATTAACCGGACCCAGGTTTTTGAACTGCTTTTATTTACATTACAATTTTACCATAATCCTATCAAGTCTCTATACTAATTTTAGTGTTTGCAATGTTGTTTGGCCGTAAATTGTTTCAATTAACTTTCAGGAGATCTTTTCACGTATCTCAAAAGTTAAATCAAGCCATGGGGATCGACGGGAATAATATACTTGCGGAGAGTTTAAAAAGACAGGTAAGTTTATGATTCAATTTTGTTGTTGCATGGAGTAAATAATATGCTTTGTGGCAAGTTTTTATTTTTCTTGTTTTATTGAATATGTTTGAGGAGACAACTCTTAGTGCCTTGTCTCTCCTAAGTGTCTTCAGTGTCTAAATCTGTATTTTTAATGTATTCAGATAATAAATTGTAAACATTAGGTATGCATATTAATGTGTTTATTGATAGAATGTTGACTTAACCATTCCATTTGTAGAAATTATTAACTCTATACTTAATTATTAATACAAAGACCAAACACTAGAAGAAATTCCTTGGATCCGGCCAGATTCGAACGACATGTAGCATACCATGCCAGACATAAAAGTAATTGAATATCAATTCAATAAAAATTTAAATTCTATACTTATTCAGTCATTTTTACAAATTATTATTATAACTTGTACAAATTACTGCAGTAAAGTGTAAAAACAGGATTTTGTATCATATTTTCACTAAACAAATATATTGCGTTATCATTTAAAAGTGTTATTTTGTGCAGTTGTATAGTATTTAATCTATATATAAATGAACCTTAAATATAAGTTACAAAAGCAAACAAATTAATCAAATAGCTAACTGCCCTTTTTCTACACACTGCATGCATTAAAGATGGAAAGAGACCCATTACGTCAATTTCGTGAAGCTTATATAAACTTCTTGGTCATTTTCAATTGTTCGAACTACAAGCAATTGAAATGTTTAGAACAAAGAAACTATAGAGGTGCTTTGGTTTTAATCTTATTTTTAAAATGATTTTTTATTAATCATTAGTAATAACTAACAAAATATTGTTGTACTCACCTTACGGCTTGGGATTATCTATCAGAAAGTACATTTGCCTGAATGTTAACTCGAGTTTTCATAATGTCAAATGTATTTTTTTAGGAATATTACAAAACAAAAGCTAATTTCGTCTTTGTGAAATGCATCAAAATTACTTGAAAGCGTAACGGTTTTATTATAAATCAGTTTTCGGAATTACAGATATTTGAGTTTACGTTTAGTTGGAATACTGGTACATTCTTATAGAACATGCTTATTTTCACATTTGTAATATTTGTATGTACATAATGTATCTGCTCAACTCTTTATTATTTCTTTAAGTGAATTTGCACAAAATTCGACATAATAGTATATATAAACATTCTATAATAATTACAATAGAAGCTGCTCCATTACTCTGTTCAAATAATTTTCAGTCGAAGCTAAATATGGTGAATTTTTTTAAGTTTCCAGTAGAAGCTGAATATGGTGTTGGTAGCACTGCAAAGACGTTACAATTTAAATGTGTTTGTTTCTTTTATATTTTGTTACATGTCACTATGTTTGTATAGGTTAACTTCAGCCATTTTTTTCGCGGTTTTTGTATTAGACCCGCCATCCATTTGTTGCTAGGTTAATGGATATGAGACAACATTGACTTCCATATCTGTTCTAAATGATTTCGTGTACGTCTTCACCTGCTTTTCTTGCCTTAAATCTTGCCCCATATAAAGCTTATAAGATTACTTTGTGATGTATGAATTGCATAAACATCTTTCCATATGTTCTCTATTGCTTTTAATATAAATAACAGCAAAAGTACCTACTTATAAAATTCCCAGTACCTAACACAAAAACATGTTTACATAAAACAAATTATATGTGATTATATATGATATAACTAAGGTTATTATTTTTACAGGGAGTAGAATATGTGTTTGGCATAGTAGGAATTCCAGTAATAGAGACTGCTATGGCTTTTCAACAAGTAGGATTGAAATACATAGGCATGCGAAATGAACAGGCAGCTTGCTACGCTGCTCAAGCTGTGGGCTATCTTACAGGTACATAAATAATATTTGTCCTTGAATTTTATAATTTAAGTGACTAGTAACAAGGTTTAATATGGCATCACTGTTTAAAATGGATATATCTTCTAGTTACCAATTAAACATTGTCACATAATTCTCAAATATATTACAAATCAGAAACATACATACAAAGGTTTTGCATGCACGTATACTTAGGGCTTCTGTATAAATAACACTGGCCATAAAATTATGTACATACTTATCTCGAATCACATTATTGGATTTTGACCTAAAAAATCATTAAATGTATAAGGTGCTTATTATTAGCTGACACCCTTTTGGCACGTCCAATACAGAAAACCAAACAACTTTTAATATGGGTATTCCATAAACAGCCAAAAAAACCCCTGTTCTTTAGTAAATGCTCATATCTTCTCGACCCAAATGTAGCCTGGTAATAAGAACTAAGAGCTTTGCATTTGAATTTTTTTGTCTTTTTCATAGATAAGTAAATTACACTTGAAATCATTATATTGATTAAACTCTACTTACTACTCAATGGGTAAGGTAGATTCCCCTGAGAAGAATGAGTAAGAAAGTTTAGGGATTGCTCTTATAAATACCATTTGTATACATTTATGATTTACTATAGTTATTTCAAATAACCATGGATTGTTGTCATCGAAGTATGCAAAAGCTTTACCTTTAGTGTCATTGTTTTTGTTTCACCTTATGTTGAGGAGTAGTGGGAAAATCAGGCTCAAAGTAAAGCAAAAATAAATTATAATAAAAGAAAAGCTTGCTAAACAGAAAAACAGAGACGAACGCACCATAGGTAAAAATATACATTAACAATGTGTAGTAGAAAAATAGAAAATAACTAAAACGTGTTGCCCCATAAATTTGCGACTTTCTGAAGACAACTGTTAAGAGCAGTCAGTTTATGTCTATTCCTTATTTTAATATTACGTTTATCCCTATTTTTCATAAAAGTATTACAATTCTAACATAAATTAAATTTGCATAATTGTACTATGACGCTAATGTAAGTACCTATCTTAATTGCTTTAACGATGTATGTCGTAACGCTGGAGTAATTAAAGTTACTCATTATACAGAAATAAAGTGAATGTTATTGTTTAAGTTTACAAATCTCTCATAGATTTTAATGTTATTTTTTGTTATTGAACTCCTTGATTGTACACTAGAAACTTAACAGAAGATCACCTAACTACTAGTATGTGTCTGATTTGTGCAAAAGACTGTATTTGATGTGCAAAGTAGACACCAAATGCAAAGCCACTAATAATAATAAAAAAATAAATAAAAAAAAACTACTTTTTCAGAGAATATCGCACTTTGAATTAGGATCTCAGGCATATTAAAAATTCATCCTATATCAAACAGGTAACATACTTATGAAATTAAATTATAATATGATAAGTAAATTTATTAAATTAATTAATTACTATAATCCGACATGATTAGATGTGATTGTGACGTACTAAATAATTTTTTCCTTTAAACGGAAAACTCTAAAATTAAGTCCTCATGACCTCAAAGGGTATATTAATTTAATTATGGATATGTCTCCGATATTTTGGGTTTTAGAATTTCTGTTGCTAGATCCTTGGCTGTGAACAATATTCGTCCATTCATTTTTCTTAATGGAACAATGTGAATGATGGTGATGCCGACGCATGCCGCTTTTGACATTTGATTTATAAGTATCGCTAGGTATGACAATATGCAAAAGCTTAAAAAGATTTTTGAAAGAGTCCGCAACAGATGAAAGGGACAAACATATTTATGGGTGTCTGTTTTTTTCACTATAATTAGTTTTTACTTGCTTTCCCAAAATGGAAATTTTGGTTATTATTACATGTCCAAAAATATGTTATTTAAATGAAATCTATCTTAACTAGAATACCAATTCTAAACAGCATTTACGACATAAACAAACTATTGTATATGACCAACAGCCGTAAATGCAAAACGATACATGTACCATGCTTTTGACTTAGATCATCACCTTACAATGTTTACCTTTTGTCATTATAAAATTTTCAGGAAAACCAGGAGTATGTCTTGCAGTATCAGGACCTGGACTTCTGCACTGCATTGGGGGCATGGCCAATGCTCAAGTGAACTGTTGGCCGTTGCTCGTCATCGCTGGCTCCTGTCCCGAGGATCATGAGGGCATTGGTGGCTTCCAAGAGTGGCATCAGGTTATGTGACCATTAAAACCTTTGAATTATGCACATTCCAAAACAAACAACACAGTTGCATTTTTACATTGCACTAATAAAGAAAACCGTGGCAGCCTAAAGGTTTGACCTACAGCCTCTCGAGCCATCGAGAATATAACCAGAAATAGAGACGAAATGTCATTTAATTTGTTTGAAAACTATTCTGCCAAATCATTACGGTGACAACTGCGCTCCGATAGGCCAGCCCGAATTCAAAACAATTGACGGGTGTCGTCAATTGTTTCACTTCAATTCTACCAGTTTAACTTGAGCTTTGCTATAATTGACGAAAATTGAAAAATTACACAATTTAAATACCGATGAAATGTGATTCCGTTTGTTTTGTAAATAGATTGCTAAATGGCTTGCACCTCTGAGTTTTCGAAATTTATGTGCGAAATTTAAATTTACATTTACTATGAGCTTTTCTGTGAAGCAAAACATCGTGAGGAAATCTGCACACATCCGCAATTTCATTATGTGTATCAAGTTCCCGATCCGCATTAGCCTCGCGTGTGAGTTACAGCGCAAGACCTCCCATAATGAGAAGAGCCTGTGCCCACCAGTGGGACTATCTAGACTGACTATTATTAGTTATTGAAACATACCAATCTCTTTTTGTAACAAAACCATCAGTTTGTAAACGAGATCCGTAACCAGAATTGGGACATACAAGTTGACACAATACAATCAATACAACACATGAAGTTTCTAAGGCATTACACCTTCGTAGAATTTATAGCCTTTGTCAGAAATCTTTTGATAGTTCCCGTAGTGTTCGGTCCTAGAATAATTATTTTACCATGAACTCTTATTACGATTCAATTTAGGACCTAAAATTAATCGTTGTGAGACAGCGCTACATAAAGTGTATATCACCATCCAGCTCTTTCATCGTTACGAACCTATACTGAACTGTAATAAGAGTTCATGGTAAGGCCCCTGGACCTAACTACTGGAGACAAATTAAATTTTCTCTCAAACACCATTATAACAGATAGCCTTTGATATTAGGACCTTTAGTAGATCGTAACAATGAGGATGCGTTTATGCATTAATACCCAAGTATTTACATATAGAACACATTCACTTTCATATATAATAGAGATGACCAACCTTTGGTAACTCGGTTTTTAATAATAAGGCTGTCTAGTTAATCTGAGTAGTTTTCGTTACTGTGATACTCATAATACAGAGAATTCCTTATTAAGAGTAATTGATATGACGGCCAGGTACATTATTATTATTGTCATACTATATGTGCTATATGAGTGTACTGTAATAAACATAATATTATTCGCATAGTCTTGTCGTGATCCAAAAAAATGCTGTTATTTAATTCTTATCAATAGATAGCGCGCTTCAATTGATTAGTTAATTTTATAGGAATTAGTTAAGCTAACTTGACTGAATGTTTTAAAGATAACATGTAGAACAAAAAAAGTAATTCCGCTAATTGCGTTTAATTATATTCAAAAATAGCTAAATAAACTAAATGCAATACGTTTTATTTAATTATGTTTTTTTAAATATAATTTTTTTTTTATTGATTAAATATGCTCATAATTATGTAAAGCACATTCCTTTAAGCAGAATGCGTCAGAAACGAAATTGCTCGTTGTAATTAGATTTTTGTATACATTTATCACTTACAATATATCAGGCTAGAGTCAGCTGAGATAAGAGGAACATAGGGGGAAGAAAAACTTGAAGCCTTAACTTATAATGTACAGAGTTTAGCCCTATAGTCTCTCAGTCGATAAAACGGACAACAAATTAGTATAAACGAATTTAAAGAGATGTCGCTACGAGACGCTCCAAGTACAAAAGGCGGAAAAAACAAATTTACAGTTATGAAATCTCGAGAACACGAGGTATAACATCACCTTTATAAGAAATAGGGTGACGTTCTCTATCCCCATCTTTTGGGGGTAGAGAAAAGTTAGCACTATTTAGACGCTTTCGGCAAATACATTGTAAATATTGAATTTAGTGTAATGATAGTTAAAACATGTAAAACTAATAAAAAAAGACAAACTACTTCAAAATTCTTATGACTTTATCTGTTTCTACCTAGAGCTACATTACATTTGCTTCACATAAATTCCTCTTACTCCACCTGGACTGAATGTGTCAAATAACACATATAGAAAAAACTACAAAAGCGAAACGGATCATTGCCATGAATTTTTGTCGTCCAAGTAAAAGGAAACTGTACAAAAATACCTTTGTATTTTTATACAGTTTTGTAATACTTTGTAAGTTTGTGTTTCAGAGTGGTTTTAAATCTCGAGTATAGCATATTTAAATATAAATTGGAATCTTATTGTAGAAGCGTATACATGAAATAAACTAGTGACTTTGCGAACACGGCTGACAAGAACAGCCACTTTATTATTGTTCCTTCATGAAAGGGTTGTTATTCATTTTAACATTAAATTATATGATTTCAGTATAAAAATAGAATAGGATACAATAATTTATTTCAAACTACCAATGTCACAATATTAAAAATTTAACAAGTTAAAATAGAATATCTAGGGATAATATTATCGTTACTAAAATAAACAATAATATTGATATAAACAAAATCGAATAATAAAAAATATATAAATAAACACAAATAGTTGTCGAAAAACAACGACGTCAAATACAAATAAAATGGGTTTCTCGTTATGAGTTCGGTAGTGTAACGGATTTTAATTTTCCCGCGTTGTGCAATACTCAACCTCCATCCGTATATATCTTGTGCGTCTATAAGTTTGTTTTTTTTATAATATCAAGTGACCGGACGAACAAGTCGTGCGCCTTATGATGGTAAGCTACACGCCTGTCCATAACAGCTGCCACTCAGAGCTTTAAATCGCAAAGATCTGAGGGCAAAGCCACTGCGCATATCACCCTGAGACATACGTTGATAAGTCCCATGTGCCAGTAATTGATATATCGCACGATGTAGGTTATTTCCTACTTGCCAAATATACATATTTAAAAATAAAATCGAAAATTAATTTCATATTTTGGAATAAGGACTATTTTGGCCCGAACTATCTCACATAAAGCGTGTCTAGTTAACTGAAACTAGATATCTTTTAGTTGTTTTTTACAATATTCTAACGACGGTTTTATTGATGTGTAGAGAATCAAATTTTATGTTCAACAATGGTATAATCTTGAATTTCACATATTTTGAGTTATAATACTATTGTAATAGCAGTGCGAAATGTAATGTTAACATCCATAGCAGGATGTAACGCTGTAGGACTGTCCTCCTAATAATTTTTTTACAAC